CGGTGATTCATTAAAATTAATTTATTATATTTGTGTTTTTTAACACTAATGGGTTTTGTACACAGCATTAGTCACTCTTGTGACTACATTAAAAAAAATCCTCGAATTGGAAAAATTAAACTAACTTGATTTTCAGTGTGGCTTCTTGTTGGAAGTTTTTTTGATTTTCCCTTAATGCACCTCACATTTACAGTTAAATCTGTAACTTGAACAAATTATCAAAACAAAATTCCTTTTTAATTATCCATAAAAATTCTAGTAGATAGCTCAGCCTTTTCACAGTGACACTACCTAAGTCTGTATAAACGTATTAACACGAGTTGCATCATAGGAACAAATTTGAAATTTTTCAGTTCAGTGTTGAATGTGAGAATTACTTATACAGTTTATTTTATTGTTTAATTCAGCAACGATTTATCTATTTTCTCGAAATTCGGGATACGCAATATTGCTGTCACTAATCTTATATTGTGTTATTTAAAACTGAAGCATACAACGTAACATGCAAAAGCAAAATGGAGTATTGCAAAAAATAAATATGCAGAATCAAATTTTGCAACATGTGTTAGAAATGGGACTTTGTCGAGGGAGTTCTTTCTGAATAACCTTGGATATTTTTTTTTTACTATGTGGTGGCATTAGATACTCTTTTATAAAATATTTGCCAAGAGAGTAGAGTTACCGTTCAGTACGTACATTATAATTCTGGATGTTAAAACCAGAAGATTTCAAATTTACTCTTAAAAGTGCAGCTCATATAGAAATCACTTTATGTCGAGTGTTTTTCTGGCGTGTCTTCCGTCGTTTTATTGAATTTGTTGCACGGTATATGATAAATTTTTGTGTTAAAATAAGAACGTAACAGCATTCCTTATTCAGTTGTTACCTTTATTTCTAACAACTCATCTTTATTTTTACCGTTGCATGCACTCTATGTTCTAAAAAAAATAATAATAAATTTAGATCATCGAAACTTACATCTTCTGCACATATTACATTATGGATTTTCGACGTTGATTTGTTTTGATTTAGGGATTTATATCCAGGAGTAAGTATGCACTAGCGCAACGGGATGTGCAGTGTGTGATTTGTTATTGACAGAAAAAATATATACTGTTCCATCATGTACTAGTGACACAATTACGAATAATAAAGCTAGAATTGTGCTTAGATCAAATTTTTTAACGTTTGTGATGCTTCCTGGGAAGACTTAATCTAATCTTTATTGGTCTCTAAATAAGAGTTCCAATGTTGGTAAATTTTATTGTGTAAACAAATATTTCAAATTACTTCCTTAAAATGAGCGATTTTGTCAGCCATACAAAATTGTGTTAGCGGTATCGTCACTTTTAATGAAATTAGTCGGAACAGTCGATTATGTGCTAAATGCTAAAACAGGAATACCAATTGAGTTGACATTGAACGTTAGGATTTCAAAAATCTATCATAGTAAAAATTATGATCAGTTGTTGCATTTCTCGAAAACTTTTTCTGGTTATTCTAGCCACATTTGCAAAAAAAGCAGCACGAACCACCAAAAGTTTCCAAAGGTTATTTAGATAAGCAACGCAATCGAGTTTTCTGTATAATTTGAAATAAACTCAATTGCGTATGCAATGATACATATTCAGCAAAAGGTACCTACGTCGTTATGCTTCTGCAGGTAAACCTGAAAGCTTACATTTTTTCTTCCGAGCATACGCTAAAGACGTGTTGCAATAGGGTTCGTTTGGGAAATGGTTTATCCCATCGTTTCTTGGCGTTTCCCTTTTCCTATCTGTCGTTTGTCAAATAATCTCCGAAATTATTGAATAGATTGTTGCGAAATTGTAGGTTTCTATTAAGAATATTATGTAACAGCTAATTTGTCTTGGTCATCCCTACTATTAGTTTGATGGCATCATCTCAACATTTTGCTAGGTAAATCCTGTTTAAATTTTATGACAAAAATGTGCTCTTACACCTGTGGCTTATTAAGCCATTCTGAGATCGCTAGAGTTGCAATTATTTAAGATCGTGATTTCTGACTTAACATTAAGATTTCTTTTCCAAGAAGTTGAAGTTTTTCGTTGGGAAGATACACATACTCGGGGATTTATTTTCTTTCTTGTCACTTTTTATCGGTTAATTTTGTATTTTGGGCAGAAGAACTGAAAGTGAACTGAAACAAAATTAATGTTGTGGTATCAAACATGCATGGCTGTGGCAGTTAATTCTTCAGAAGTGGAGTTTTGTATTCAGTTGCTTTTATATATTCTTAGTTACAAAGATGATTGTAAATCAAATTGTGAATAGAGATCTAGAACTAATTTATGGACCAATTTGTTATGTTACATCTTGCAAATTTTTACTAGGTGCTTCATTTCAACCAATAGATTAAATAACTACATACTTGCACGGGCAACAAATTACACTATTAAGAATCAATAAAAAAGATCTGCTTAGGAAAATACTAACATCCGCAGTAACACTTTCGGTTTTTGCTGGAAACGAAGACCATTTGTGTTTGTTGAACGAGTGTGCCCTTTTTACTGATATTTTATTTTTGAAAAAGTTTCTTATTTCCCAAAATAAAATAAAACGAAATTTTCTGCATATTAAGATTTTCAAGCATGTTTGGAAATTTCGTAATCTTACGATCAATAGTTCGAAATTTGTTCTATGGTAAAGATTGTTTTATCAATAAATTTTGCTGTAAAGTGGCAAGGAAAAATCGATTCTTCCTTTAGTTGGAGTATGTGAGATTACACTGTAACTGCTGAAGTTTGAGAGTAATCGACATCAAATCTAATATAACTTGCCAAAAAATTGCGATGCTGAAATTTCGTGTTACTATAATGAAGCACTAACCTAATAATAATAACAACAAAAAACACAGCTATCTTCTAGTACTGGGAAACCGGAAGTATTGCTTTGATTTTACGATATCACTAAAGTTTTATTTTGTGGACTTCCCGTTGCCTAAAGTAGTCGTAATACGTAGAAATCAAACTAAATACTGACACGAACCCAACTGTGATCCTAAGCAAGTAAACTGTAGAAGTGGCACAATGTGGTATCATAGGGCAAGTGGTGTTCTGTCCTTGTGCAGAATTTTATTTGTTGAGAGTTAATTATCCACCTGTGATTTTAATCCAAAGTAGTTTGTTTCTTTTCCTAGTCACTAAAGTCTTTATAGCGTTAATTTCTACCTAAAAGCGTGATATTTTAATTTGGTTTTTGGCTTTATGGTCAAGATTTAAAGTCTTGCGTACTGGTGATGTAGGAAAAAAAAATGGAATACATTTGTTTGCGTTTTACTTAATAGGGTAATTTTGACGAGTGTCTAATTTCACGTTTTCTAGCCTTTGCACAATTAGTATAATTGTGTAATTTCTCGCAAACAGGTTGTGTGTCTGTTCATGATTTTAACAGACTGATAATCTCCGAAACTACTATACTGATAACTGTGAAGTTTTCAATGTACTTGAAGGCGATACACGCCATAATCAAAATTTGACCGTTCACTTCCATAAATAGTTTGATGGTGACTTAAAAGTTTTGGTAAGTAAATCTCGCTTGAAATTTTTATTGTTATGCTCCTTTATCTGTAGTTAATAATGTATCAATATTTTTAACCTACGCGTACCGGTTATAGTAAAAAATAATAATAAATAAATGAAATTGGTAGCATGAAATTTCACAATTTACATATATTTAATATATTAGAACCTACATAAACAACTTTTAAATTTTGGTATTACAATAATTAATATTTTATTTTTTTGTTATGGTATAAATTATTAATAAGTAAATCTTCACTAAAATGTACGAACTACTTATGCAAAATTAACCACGTTTCAGGAGCGAGGGAAGTTCTAACTTGAGCATTTTTCTTGTTATGGTTTTATTATTTCGTTTTTGAACTAAATACACTAATGACAACATTGTTACAATGTACGCTAATTGGCTCGGTGGTAGACGTTCGTTTTTCATGTGAACGTCCTTGTTAGATTCTCGTATTTATATTATTTTTTGTCATTTCAGAAACCAAATGTAATACTCTAAACGTCTTAAGACAACGTTGATATTCTTGCATTATACATATAAAATTATGTAATAAATTGCTATTTAAAAATACGCTTTAACTGACATAATGTATTTTAGAGAAGAGGAAAGTTCTATCTCCATAACTTTAGACCAATTTTATAGAATGCAAATTTTAGTTAATATTTGCAGCATACTGGACCTCACTGTCCTGATGCGAGTTTTCATTTATCTATATGGGTCTTTAAATGTTAAACTTGAGTGTTGTTAGGAGATACGTGCAAAAGGAACATGCTTTTTCAATTAATACCTTAAAATACTTATCTCGACGACAACGAGTGGATATACTATATTTGACAGGAAATTGGGTTAACTTTAAAAAGTGTATTGTAAATAAAAGTTATAACACATTTTAATTAGGGCGGGAATTCCAAAGATTTATTGTTAGTCACACTGTAACGTACAGAATTCTCCCCAGACATCTCCTACTTATTGATATAAAAACTTCTGTTACCTGTTTTCTCCAATGGACAAAAATTTATTAGTCTGTTAATTGTAATTCTGATAACATTAGATGTGGAACGGAAACAACCACTTTGGCTCACTGCCACAGCCAAACAGTTAACCCTAGACAAATAAAATTTCGTACAAATATAGAACACCACTTGTTAGTAAATCTTAGGTGAACAGCAAATGTGTCACATACACTTTTGCAGTACATTTGCATAGGATCGTAAAGCCTATCACTAGCAGCTTATATAATGTTCTCATGCTATTTTTCCTAAAACTGAACAAGATTTAACACGAAATATTTGGTTTTTGTAAATGAAAGTAAGTTTTACAAACTTTTCACTACATTTATTGCCAACAGTTAATATTACCTTAAAGTAAATTTATGCTTCTGTTCTTTTTTGTCATTTTTTTGGTCAACAGTTTTTTTGGTAACCATGTAATTTGATTTTTTTTTTTTTCAGAACATGCAGTCTCCGCTTCCCTTGCTATGGGTCGACGAGGAGGCTTCGTTGGAGGCGACACTGGCAGCATACTCTCGCCACGGGGGTCAGACAACGGCGGTCTCGGCGTCAAAATGGTGGAATATGTATTGGGTGGTTCACCAACCAACAAGGACAACATTGGTTTGGAACCTCGAATGCGTGCCTTGCACTTGGTTGATGATAAAGACAAAGATAAACCACAAAGCCCAAAAGAAGAAGTCAATGGACAACCTGTTCAAAATGGCCAAGTCTCTGAGGATGAGAAGGGTTTCAAGTGAGTGTGAAATTAAAATTTGTCACATCCAATTTTGTGCGCAAATTTTTCATAACCTCTAAATTCATTAACGCAGAAAATGTGGGAGTCAAATAAACGATGGCCTTTTAATGTGTATTAATACTGTGTTGGAGCTACTAAATACACGATCGACTTGTAGAGTGGAATATATGAGAAGAACATGTTGAGCTAGTTAGGCTGTGACCATTAACGCATCATTCGCGTTCTGAACTAGAAGCGTTCTAAAAATATGAGCAAAACAAAAAAAACACTGATAAACTATGAAAAGACGAAACGACACATTATTGGGTTAAGCCATGAAGGAAATACGACGCAGAATGGCGTACATCGCTGACGGTATAGTGCTCCAACTAAAATAGTGGTTTGATGATTCTGACTTTTCCAAGCCCTTCGTATGCAAACAAGGAGCATTTTAAATTAATACCGCTAAAGATACGCCGGCTTGTTAGAAGCATGTCGGCCAAATACAACAAAGAGACGCTCCTTAAGTTTGGGATGGTGTCCTAAATAGGCATTTAATAAGCTATTACTCGTTGAGAAGGGTATTGGAGGAGTCAAATGCGTAAACAACTGTTCTTTTTGGTGTACTGTACTACCCTAAATTTGCAAATGGACTCTAGTCTACTGCGGCGTTTTATTAGTGTGTTCTTCTCAAAATACTTCCACTCTATTTGTAAGCAAATTCTTAAAATATGGCGAGGACTCACAGTTCGTGTTAATTCCTTAACGGAAAAAAATAAATTATTATTAGCAGAAATGCAGTCGTGTGTGATCTACTTTTTTTAAAGGGGATTTAGATTACTTTTAGATCGGATTATGTGTTTTCTTTCACAACTTGCATATCGTGCTATTTTGTTAGAGATGCGTTTCTGTTACTTTCTGTATTTGTTTAGTCCGCAGTTCAGTGATAGCGTTCTTCTCGGCTGTTCCATATTTTAGCGACATGGATTTGTTTTGTTTTTCTGGACGTTTATATTTAGCTTCGTAGAAATTGTATGTAGAATTTTCTTGCGTAGACGCCCACATGTTTATAGAAACAAACCTGTCATTTGAATCTTTCTGGACTAGTACAGTCTTCGGGAGAATTTGAATTTTTAGTTATATTTGTTTTCGAGTATTAAAAAAAAAACTGATTTTACAACAATGTGCACCTTAAAAAAATTGTATAGTTTGTGTGTGATCAAAATTTTTAAAAAAGAAAGATATAAAAATTTCAGGATTTCTTAAGAGATTACAGAGATAATCCAACACAATGATCATCTATAGCAATTATAAAACAAAAAGAGGCGTGAAGGCAATATTGAACTGCTCCGGCAGTGTATTTTCAAACTACCTCAAAATTCGTATTTGATACCATGAATGAGTCGTTGAATATTAAAATTGTTTCACTGTGCAAGAACGTTAACATCGGCTGATCAGTTCGTTTAACATTTCCACCTAGATTTTAAATTTGTTTCATCTTGATTTATTCAACTCTTAAATAAATAAATTGTTGCAAATAAGAATAAGAACTGCATATCTTCTTGAATTTTTAAAATGTGTGAGGTAACGAGCGCTGACAACGGTGTAAGTATTGTTTTAATTTGTCATTTATTTCGTCAGAGATTTGCGCATATGTCTGCTATGAAGACTATGCTTTAAACTTGTTTGCTTAAACCTTCGTGATCTGAAGAATCAATATTGGTACAACAAATTTCAAGATCATTCAACGCATGACACATCACCAAATCCATCTTTCAATGAACATTATGTATCCTACTCATTAATTCAAAACCGTCTGCTCGCCGTCTTTCCGCTAAACTTTGAATCTGTTCAGTTGAGCAAACGCCAGTTCGTTATTCCTCGGCTCAAGGTCTGAAATCTACCTTGGGTCGAGTCAATGACACGTGCATGTTTTGTTCGTCGGTTGTCAAGGTGATGGTCTCCCCACTCTTATCTTCGATTCTGCTCAGATGATCGCAATTCACTCAGCGAACGCTAGCGCCACCTAGTGGTGATTTACGGTTTATTTTATGGAAAACTGCGGCAAGTTCGACACCGGCCGGAATGTGGCGCCCTCTCATTTCTATTCTTGGCTCGCTGTTGGAAGTAATTATGCTGTGGGTTTTGATTATTAATAAACATTTGGTTTTTTTAATTCTACACATTTGCGTCAAGTATTTTGACTACAGTGCTAAGGGCATTGACGAGTAAATGAACGAACATGTCTTTTAAACTTTCGACTTTATAGAATGGAGAAAGGAAAGTAGTAAATTATTTAATTTCGAATGAATTTGAATGATCGGTTTAATATTAGGCACACTGCAAAAATTACGTAACGTTGGTAGTAACGTGAAATTTAAATAAGAATTTTGCCGAAGTGTATACCTACAGAAGTAGTAACGCCGTGTTAGATTTTTCTTTCATAAATCACGGATTCATTAATTTAACCATGACAGTTGTACAGGAACTTTTCAGTGTATAGTTAGTATTAGTCGAATTTTATTTAGCCTTTAACATTCTGACCAGACATACAAGGTTAGTTCGAAGTTTACGTTCTGCTATGAATTAAAAGTTTCATAAATTTCAGATTGTGAAAGTAAATGACATATAGTTCTTGTAATTTTCTTGGTAAAAGTACATTTTTAATGGGATTTTTTTAAACGTTAAATGTGAAAAAGTAACGGTACGCCTTACGTTACTTCATGCCTGCATAAAATTTGTGACATACTTTTTTATAAATTGCAGGTTGCATTGAGTAGCAAAGGTTTCAAAATATATAATAAGGAACCACCATTTTTCAGACATGCAGTTATCCTTTAGATACAAATAAGTTTTTTGCTTAAAAAGTTTACCACTGTGTTAAAAAAAGATGAGCTGCGGATTTGTGTTCAGTGGCGCCTGAAAATCGCACGAAGAAAAATACTGTTATTAACAATCTGGCAGTTTTAGTTAATGTTCATAGTTATTTTGCCAAATCAAAAGGAACTATTTTTGGTCGTTGTAATTAATAACGTTTCTCGGAAAGCAATAAAGTATGCGCCGGTGTACTTTGAAAGCTTCTCGATGACGTGTAACGTTAAACTGTTAGCAGTTGATATATGTAGGCAACTTATTACGTGCGGGTAATGTACGTAATTACGTAAATTTGTAATTGTAGCTTTTGTAAATGAAATAACAAAAAGGTAAATCTAAATTTTCACAACTATTTTTTTGTGTTGGGGGCGGGGGTAGTTGTTATTGGAAACTTGCAGTGAAATTGCAATTCGTCCCCAAAATTATATTTTTTACAAATTGTTGTTTTTAAAATATGAAAATTATCTTATACGTAAGTAACTTCCAAAAACGAGTGTAATGCATTTTAAATTTCGGTTGGTGGAACTAAGGTTTCTTTTTTGTAACTTCTGACATTGAGACTATGTAAATGACTCACTAAACGAACTGACATAACATCCAGAACAGATACTTCTAATTTACCAACCGGAATTGGACCGTGTTAACTACTTGCACAGACCATTATTTAACAATGTAATTTTGATCCAGTAAATACAGACTGAAGGAATGTTTTATTTCAAAATTGAATGGTTACCGTGAGGTTTGAATGAATTTCAAATTACTTTCCAGAGAAATATGTGACATTTCTTTTTAAAAAATCTTCAGTTTAAGTTCAAGGAACCATCAAATTAGCTTAGGAAGTTATTAATAAAATTTGACTACGTTTTTTCCATTTCCTTTAACTATAAGATAATTCAGCAAGTATAAATTAAGTTCTATTTTTTTCAGTCGAACTCCCGGCAGCCGACAACCATCACCAGCGGAAGAAGAACTTACGAAAAATGGGATATCGCTAGATCCCACAGTTGTTGTTATGAAACCACAGGAACAATTACCGCCACATTTGCAACATCATCATTTACCACCTCATTTGGCACCTCATCTGGGTGTAACATTAACCGAATCTGTTAATCAACAATTTGATCATTTTGAACAACCTCCACCTGCTCCGTACGACCAACAACCTCACCAATACCCACCGCCTCCTCCACAGCAACATCAAGTCGACAGCGCCGTTCTACAGCAACAACAACATAATTTCGATGTACAGGTAGGTTTCGTCTTGTATCTAAGCTCACAAGCAACAATGTGTTTGCGTTAATAAATTTTATAGCAAAACGGGGATGTGGAACTAACAACCGAATAGACCATTAATGCAGAGTTTATTATTATTACTGTTTTAATACATCTGAATCTCAAAGGAAACGTTTCTCTAGCGTAAGCATAAATTGACTAGTGTCTGTCGTTGATCCGTGAGCGAATCTAACTTGGTTCTCTTTATTATAGATGATAGATTATACATAAAATCATTTAAAGTACAAAAAACAAATGAACCAACAACTTACTTTCATTTTCAGGTAATAACAACGTTCACATTCGTTGCTACGGCATCGGCAGTAATATTCATCTGCAATACATTTTTCTTTTTTGTGGTAGTTTGCGAAAATACACGCAAATTTATATCTGGAAACTATATTAAAATATTTCATAGTGTGTAAAATTGTGCAATGATATATGCTTAGTTGTGCACCACTAACAACTCTAGAATTAATGTTGTAAGTGATGTGAATGTGCTGATAAAAAAAATCTCTTAAAGTAGATTTTGTTAAAATATGATACTAAGCAAAAAATAAGGATTTCGTATTGTTTGGCAGAAGGAATTAGTGTTCTTTTTTGTCTAATTATTTTATATTTCACGGTTGAATTGTAATGCATATTTGTTTTCATAAAAAGTCATTTTCCAAGAAAACGCAAAATTTAATAATAACAATTATAAGTATGCAAAAGTGATCACACTAGTAAAAAAAAACACACTGGGTAAAATTAGGGAGAACGAATAAATAAGTATACTATAATTGCCACCAAAAAGCAACACAAGGTAAACTGATTGGAAACGATTATGAGCCCTTTTCTCACTTCTGAACTGCGATTTTCAAGGCATTTAGTTAAAAAATATCGAAATGACGAATGTATATTTTATGTGAACATCAATCATCACCGTTTTGTAAATATTTAAGGCTTTTTTTTTTCATCACTAACATTGTATGTTTTAAACTATTTATTTTTTATCTTCTCAGTTGCCTTTCGTCGCGAAAAAAAATTATTATGACAAGAATAGGATGAAAATATGAAAAACTGAAGAAAATTATTTAAATAAGTATTATGAACACGTCACGTCTCAGTACGGTGTGCGTTGCGTTAGAATGCCGTTTTTTATCTTTTGAAGTTTTTGCAGTCAGTCTTCTCTTTCTCGTCTGTTTGCTCAGCTTAATTTTCCACAAAACCATAAAAAATTAATTCCGATTAATTCCTTGTTATGTCTTTAAGCGTGTGATTTAATCCGTAACATTGTCAAGAATTTAACTTTCACATAAATACACGTACTTGGAGGTACGCATAAGCTGGTTTACGTGAATAAACCTTTGGGCTGTTCATGCTGTCATATTATATAAGACACTGTAAAGATACCAGATTTATTTAAGTGAACAGATACGCTACCAGTGCATGTTACACATCCATAAAATAATTCTGATACGAAGAAGTTGCAGAAAGCAATGAATCATAGATAATATTTATATTATTTTTATCTGTTTTAAACATCTAGGCTATGATCTACCATACGTATTCCTGGGGCGCTCACTTATTTAAAATTGCAGATATATTTTTGTGCTTAACTGTACTACTCACGTTTCGGTTGTCAAAAAACATAGATAAGTCAGTCTTTTGTTTAGTTAATCACGTTTTCGTGCTTTGTTTTTCATTAATACGAATTTAAATATGTAATGCTTAAGTAAATTGTGTTTTTATCACAATTCAGAACTCCATTAAGATTATATAAACATACCAGAGGTAATCAGTGCAAAAATGTTGCGTAAGTAGTATTTAAGTAATATTTAAGTAGCGATTGCTTTGCGGTGCATTGTTGTTTGTTACAATAGAGCGCGCTACGTTGTCTCGTCGGGTTAAAATCTCAAATTTCAGATAGCACGTATAAAATTAATCAAATGAATTTCATAACGGTGTTATCAAGGAAAATGATTATTGAGGTCTATTGCTTTAATTAAGAGACATTCAAATATTACCATGCATAACAATTCCGACGTTGTGCACGATAGAGCGGTAAGAGTATTTTAGTGATACCACGCTACAGAAAAGGGTGATATATTTTAATTGGGACTTTCAAGTAATGAAGTGAAGAGATCCACACGCTATGTCGCGTGCTTTTGCAGTCATAGTCAAACCCCAAAGCTCGCATTAGGTTGAATCGACTGCACCCTTTTCGTCGAAGCCGCACCTACGAGCTTTTTAGATCATGAGGGTGTGTTTCACCCTTCCTGATACGGACACCGTGAACTTTGCTTGAGAGCTTTTTGTTCTGTTTGAGCTTTGTCATGTCATGATTTCATGCGGCGTCGTGAAAAATTAAATGTCAATTTGGCGTTCCGATCACCGTTTTAACCGCGAATTTATTTTATTCTCCTTATTTTAACGTGACTCGATTAATTGTGAATAGAAAGTCACCTAGGCTCTGCACTGTTACGCACCGAGTCTTACGTTTTTAATCAATACGGGCACTTAATTCTGTGCAAAAATAAACGCTATAAAAACAAATAACACGCCGACAATTTTCGTTGTTTGTAGTTTGATAAGTAAGTTAGATAACTAAGCTGAAGTTCTGCATACATTTCAGCCATCATCGTGTTTAGTTGTCATTAATCTGTTCTGAATACAAATACCCTCCTTCATTATTATGAACGAAATGTATGTACACTTCCACAATTGCGATTTATATAATAAAATTGACCTACCGAAGAAAAATTATCTTTCTACTTTGCCAATTACTGATTTATCATTCTATGATCTCATAACACTTTCATCGAGTGTTTAATTTTTTTTAATCTTCGTTGTTTCCATTCCGTATGATAGCTCTTACGAACTGTTTTCTTCATATTCAGAGTTTCCTGAACCGAAACTGTTCGGTTAACGAACCCTACGATCTGCATTGTCTGCGTTCATTTCTTCCAAGGTCTTGTAGATTATTACACGATGTAATTAAGACTGGTAACACATGCGCCTACCAGATGATGTTTATGCTTACGCATGAGTATGTTTGACATTTTGAACAACAGAATAGACAATGCCGTGTTAAGTTCTTCAAATGTTTCTTCGTTCATTGTCGATGATGTAAAATTTGTGGAATTTGTTTTGTTATTTTATTGTTGTAAGGCGCTGTAGCGTTCAGAGATGTAACTTGTGTTTGCAAAAATTTTCTATGCTTCGTATTGTCAAGGAAAAATTAAAGTGAAATTGTAAATTTGGCAGTTACACTTTCTTCCGAGTTAAATTAATGATTGCGTATTTGTGTCATGTATTTTGCGCTTAATGCTTCTCAGTTAATGCTACATATTTAATTTAGAACCAAAAGATTTCTTAATGTCAGTTGAACGTTTCTGTATTACATTAGTATCTCTTTTATGTTATTACAAAATTGCTGACAATAAGAAAATATTACACGCTATAAGTAGTAAGTCGATAAGTATTAATGTTTAACAAAACGGTGTTTTGGAAAATAATAATTTTGTTGATTACAAATTAAGATAATAATATACGCGTGTAATGACCGTTCCGGAAAGGCATTTGTCACTTGCAGGAAGGTAATAATAGCGTGCTAGAAACTGACGGACCTGTACGAGTTTAACTTGTCCCGCAATGCGTATATTTTGGGCATTTTTGTTCGTTTGCAATTTTAAAACTTTCAACAGTTCAACATTGAAGCCACAGTTTACTGAAAATTCCTATCAAAATGCATTTTCAACAAAATCAGTCGGAGCGTTTGAACAACGGAACAGGGCAATCGATTATCCTTTCTAGCAACGTTGAAGCGACCTTACTCACCATTTTAAACGAAATTACATCAATTTTTGTGTGAAAAGTGGAGGAAATGTTGCCTTAGGATCTTTCAGAAAACTGAAATTTTTAAAGTGGCACATAATCTAGACCGAAATAAAATTTAAATGAACACTGACCAGCATCGAATACATTTTTGTGCACAACTAGCAATAAAAAAACTTCTTCATGTCAATATTGATTACTTAAATTGCAATTTTTCGCTGTGACTACCTTTAATGTTTAGAGATTTTCTAAAAAGAATTTAACTTATTTTTTCACACTTCCAAAAGTGCAAATTAAAGCAGCTTGAAACGCCTTTTGTAACTTGTGTAGCAGCTTACTAAAATTTCAATATTGTGGCCTAAAGTACAGTTTCCCGCATTAGATGATCATAACACTGTTAATTAATTGGAATTTTAATGTTAAAGAGATGTGTATTTTTTTTTGTACAGTCGCGGCTAGAAAATCTTTGACATCAATGTCACTCCACTATTACAAAGTGTGAAACACCTTTAAATATTGTAACCTTATAATTTTAGTTTTGTCGTTTTTGATATTGAGAACGTGCTAACACTGCATTCGACGTGACAAATCTTTTAAACTTCGAACGTCAAAATGACAATAGAGCCTAGACTACATTCAAATTTTTGCAATGACAGAAAAATGATGTCCGAAATGATCTGTCCGCTATTACATTCTAAAACTAATACGTATCAAAGAAAGTTGATGTTTGTGATTGACGAAAGATTGGAATTAATTTTTAGTCTGACTACGAGCAAAATTGTAGAATGTCATCAAATTGTTAGTGAGGATGATCAGACAAATTTAGGTTAGTAGTTACCAAAACGAGAGACAGACGGAAACGGGAACCCTCATATTCTTGGAATTATGAAACATCTAGAACACATGAAATTAGCCATTCCTCAAATGGGCACTGTTGCAACACTTCCGACTTTTACTTCCGGGAAGTAAAAATCAAAACTTCTTTAATTTTTTTGTGTGCCAAATTAAAATTCGTACTCACACTTTCTTTGGTCAGGTGGATATTTTCCAAAATATCTTAAAAGTGAGTTTCCTACTAGGTAGGTGGCTAAAACACTTTCGTATTTTAAATTTAGTTCAGTTCAGTGCTTCTTGAGTAGTTGGTTGTATTCACTGCAC